AGCCTTAAAACTTGTTTAAAATGCAAAATAGTGTGAATCAAGATTGTTTGAATACAAAACCGAATCTAACAATACAAATCTTTACCAATAACACCCAAAAATTGAATGATTTTGACACAAAAAACCAATCCGGACGAAAAAAGATATCAAGAACAGTGAAGAACAGATCGATAATCTTCAACAAATTCGTGCAAAAAGTGTGTAAAATGGATATATCTTCAAATCCAAACTCCTGCAGCTTGCTTTGATACCAATTGATGAGTCCAGATTTCATACAAACATGATGTAATCTTCATAGATCATGATGAACATCAAAGATAGAAAGAAAATGATCAAGAATGATTAGATTGAGAAGAGAGAGAGAATTACAGCACTTAATCTTGATAAATCTGCTAATGACAATTGCTAATTACAATTACAAGGAAATCACTATTTATACTAGGAAATTGTAAAGGCTAAACTATTACAAAACAACTATACTAAGGAGAAACTTGAATACAACATTAAAGCACTAACTTGAACCCAACAGTAACAATTAACTAAATAACTCACCGGGCAACCGTGTAATACCGAAAAGCTCCGAATTGAGCACACAAAGCAAGTCCAATCTACCACACTTAGATTGCTTCCAAAATATCAAAACATGTCCTAATTACCCTCTGGAGTAAATGTACAAAATCTCATAAGCAACCGATATAAGAAACCCATGATATACACATATCCTATTTGAACATTTTACCTAAATTTCTATGTATAGCTACTGCATGCAGAACTGTTTTGCCCATTTTATGCTCGAAATCATGCCTTGATCAAATAAAAAATAAACTAGACTCAAATATCTAACTAAAGAAATTGGTCCCACCTCATTTGGATTTTTCTACGATTTTATACAGATTTTCAAAGTCTGCACACTTTCAATGCTTTCAAAAGTCGAAAATTCTCATTTTCATACATTTTCCTCAAACCATTTTGATTCCAAACCATTCCAACTTCTGAATCTCAACTTAATATAACATATTTGACATAAACATCCAAAATCCAACCTTTATTTTATCATTTATATTATCTCCCAAATCATTGACTTAATCAAGTCAAAGTTCATATGATGAACTTGCATAAATCTTGATAGTCTCTTGAATCTAATGACCATTTCATGTCATAAACACTTAAAAGCACTCATTTTATACACTTAAGATCAAACCCATATGAAACCCTAACTCTATCTCAACATGCAATCCATAAAACAAGAATGTCAACCAAGAACAAGTGCAAAAATAGATTATACCTTACGTGATGATCAAATCCTCCTAAGATCTTGTAGTTCTTCTTTGATTTTAGTTGAATCAAGCCTATGTGTGTGAAAATCGCACCTCTAGAGTGTGTTTGAGTTCTGGACTTAGATGGCAAGAGAAATGGGCCAAAACTCCAATTTATAATGCTAAACTCGAGTTGGGCCGGGTTGGCCCGGCTAGGTACCCATTTTGACCATCAACACTTAAAATATTCATAACTTTTCGCTCGGAACTCCGTTTTCTATGAGGTTTTCACCTACACGTTTATAAAGAGATAATCTATAACATCCAACAAAAATATTTCAGAAAATATCTCCCAAGAAAATCAGTTTTACGTATCTATTTGACGTAAAAAAATTTCCAAATCCTCTAATATATTCTTAAGAAATAAAATTCTAAAATTCCAAACCTAAACTCCCATTAAATCATAAGTTCTCTTTAACCCAATAATTAAATATACTAAGCAATTAATTGGGCATATTAGAAATTGGATGTTACAGGTATGTTGAGAAATTTCTTTGTTCTATATGTCTAAAGAAAAGTCTATCAATACTCCATTTGAGCCTTCAAGTGATCATCTGCTTTAAGTCCTTCAAATCAAGCCGATATTGCATATACGGTAAGAGTTCCATATTCTAGTGCAGTAGGATCTTGGATTTATGTCATGATTTATACCCATCTTGACCTTCCCTATGAAACTTCTATGGTGAAAAGATATATGGCCAACTCGGTTAAATAGCATTTGAGGGTTGTCCAATGGATCTTCCGTTACATGAGGGGTACGAAAAATGTGTGTTTGCATTTTAAAAAGAATTCTTCGGGTTTGCTTAGCTATGTAGATTTTGATTATGTCAAGGATCTTGAAAATAGAAGATCTATCACTAGATATGTTTTTACTCTTCACGAGTGTGCCATTAGTTAGAAGGAAAATTTTCAAACTACCCTTGCTTTATCTACAATGGAAGAAAAATATATGGCAGTTAATGAAGGTGTGAAAGAAGCTGTCTGGATCAAGAGATTTTTTTGTGAATTGAGTGATCATCTGAAGGTCGGAAAGGTTCCACGTGACAATCAACGTGTGGTTCTCTTGACCAAAGATTGGATGTTTCATGATAGGACGAAGAACATCGATATTCGTCATCACTATGTTCGTGGGTAGTATCTAAAGGTGATGTTAAAGTGGTCAAGATTAGCACTCACATTAATGCCTCAGATATGTTGAGTAACCCGCTTCCAGTATCCAACTTTAATTTTTGTTTAGACTTGGTTAGGGTTGCAAGACATACTTTATGTCCTTAAGGGTGAAATGGTGGAGGATCTTTCCTTTTGGAGAACTTTGATTACTTTATTATTGCTTTGTTTACGGGTGATCATTTTGACTTGAGATGAATATTGGAGGAGTTATGTTCTTAATATAGTTTTTTGGTTTGAATGCAAGATGGATACTGTGAGATGTTTCCTTCAACCTCAAATTTTGGACACCTCATATACGATTGGAGTCTCCCAAGCCATGGAATCCAGGCAACATTCATATGTGGCTTATTATGCCGCCAAATTTATCACCTTAGATCCTAGAAGCATGAACTGGACAGTGGCTCCCGGCTTCTCCTGCAACTCTGCCCGCATGGAAAGTCGCTAGTATGTTTTCTATATGGCGCTAAGAGTGCTCAAAAACCCGACCAACCCTACCAACCCGATCAACCCAACCCAAGCCAACGCGAAATAGCGCAACCCGAAGCAACCCGATGTCTAATCGAGTTGCAAAATCTTCAAACCGTTTGGTTGATATTGGGTTACTTTTATTTGAATCCAACCCAACCTGATGAACCCGACATCCTATTATTTCTTGATTTTATATTTTTGTTAAGTCTCTATTAGTATGTAGATTAGAAAACTACAGCATAACGTACCCTCTTTATATACATATATTTCAATCTATTCTCCATCTCTATATAACTAGCTCTTTGTATACATGTTTAGTAACTGTGAACACACACACACATATTGAGAATATTAATTGAATGTGATATACTTGAGATTTAAGAAGTATGAATAAGTTGTACCAAATGGATGATGATGAAAAAGAAATAATGAGTACACTAGAGAAAACAACATATTCAAGGTTGGGAGAATATTTTGATGTCTCAAAGTATTAATCCAACTAGCCCAATTAACCCGACCGACCCGTACGGTTTAGGTTGGGTTGGGTTGGGTTGGGTTGGGTTGGGTTGAGATTTTTCAAACCACAAACATTGGGTTGGATTGTTCAAATATCAATTAACCCGGCCCATTTGGTAAGTGTGAGCAGTGTTGACCATCAATTGTTCTTTTATAAAATATAGGAGGTTATTTTGAACTTATCCATTTAAGAATAGAAACCCTTTGTCTCTCTCTCTAAAACTTGCTCCCCAAAATTTTCAAGATCCTTTTGATTTCTCCATTGTAAAGGTTGTAATTTTTTAAGTGTATCATTATCATTGTGATAGTGGATAAGTTCTCGACGCTTTCTTTCCGTGGTTTTTCCCTTTCCGGGTTTTCAAGTAAAAATCTTGTTGTCTCTTTTACTTATGCTTGATTTTGCATCTTATTGGGTTGATTATTGTTTACATTACTTAGTGATTGATTGATTATCTTGAATTGTTAATCGTTATTCTGCTTAGAATCTTGATATAGAACTTTAATTTATTTGTTCTTGGGTTACTTGCTTGTTTTATCATGAACCAACTATCGAGCTTATGCTATTTGGGTCTTGGTATTTTCACAACAGAAAGAATATATAATATATATTCATCGATGAATGTATTCAACTTTATTTGTATTATGTTAAAGGGTATATTCATTAAAAATTAGTTCATCGGTTCTTTAAATATTTGTCATTCTCATTTGAAAACCAAGTCGTGTATGTATATTATAAAAAAGGGAATAAAGGCCATCATATTTAGGGGCCATTTATAGACACTAACTGGGTTAAAGTAACCATCATCACTTACCTTGCTGGGTGAACATAGTAATGACAGTGAATCTTATTCGATAAATAACCAATATATATATATATAGAGAGAGAGAGAGAGAGAGAAGATCAAAAAAGAATGATACCTATTTAAAAGAACACGAAAATGTGCAAATCACATGCAAATCACATGTGATTTTACATCAATTGTCAAAAAAGTATCTAGGCGACTTGTGCCTGCGTCTTCAAGTTGCCGGGTAAAATCACCTGGATTACATGTGATTTTGTATGTGATGTTAGTGTAAATTACATATGATTCGCCCGTTTTCATGTTCTTTTTAAATATGTATCGTTTTCGTTTGATCCCCACTATATAAATGAGAAAATAAAAGGTTGTTTCCTAATGCTAAACGGTTAAGAGTCACCACTTTTACTTATTTTATCAAGATGAGCGTGAGAAGGATCGAGCATCTTACGAATGATCTTTACCCGGTAAATGAGTCGGTTTACCGGGTAAATGATGTTTACCAAGAATTGTTTATCCTATTTGCCCACTAAAATAAGTCACGGAATTTACCCGATTATCATTGGTAAACGATTGATTATAATTAACTACATACTCTTTTATTACATAACTTAAAACTCAACCAAACAAAAATCATTTTCTCCTGAAAATGACAAAAAGAAGCCCTAGAAATTATAAAAGTAGTACAGGGATACGAACAATAAAATTCAAAATGAAAAGGTGGATGATGGATCTATTGCATTAGCAGACTCCTGATAATGGATGCTTGTGTGGAGTCTGTGTTGTCCAGCAACTCTGATAGACGCTCACTCAAGTCGTCAACCTCTCTGTGCAAGCTTTTAATATAGCTGCATGTCTCCTGCAACACCCTCGCTGCTGATACCTGCATCCATCAATCAATATCTTGATCACTTAACAAATCTTTATACTTTTTAACCGTAAATTAGTTAATTAATTATATGTACACAGAAACAAGTATCGAGGTGTTCATACAGATGATGGATTTCGGCATCATTGCAATGGCATATCAAAGTTAGTACCTTGTCGGAGCAGCGATTGCGGATTTCAGGAAGAAGCTGATGCAATTTGGAGACAAGATCATTGATTTGATCGTCGGTGATCATTGAAGGCGCTGAAGGCCTAGATCTTGATGACCTTCTGCTTGACATTTCTATGGTGGGATTTGAGTGTATGTGCTGTGATGAATGTTAATGCGTAGAAAGATGTAAGTGAAGAAATGGGATCAAGTAGAGATGCAGAGAGAAGGAAATGAAGATGGGTGCATGAGTGAAAGCTTTGGCCAAGCTTGTATATAAATACACTCCATCCTTGCTCACTTGATACAAGAGCAAAGTGAGAATAAAATATATGACTACAATAGTAGTTGGTTTTGTTCAAGTGGTTGGCTTTCGAGATGATTAATTTGAATCTTATTTTTATATGCATTGTTTTTTCATAGACATGTTAGTGGGTAGACAATAAAAATTTCATCCATGTGGTTTGATTGATTTTCCACAAACTTATATACACACACATATTACTATATATATATATATATATAATATATACATACATATACACAAACATATTACTATACTCTAGGATTATATATATACTTATATATATACACACACATATTACTATGCTTTGGGATTACATATATATATATATACACACATATATTACTATACTCTCGGATTATATATATATATATACACACACATATATTACTATACTCTCGGATTATATATATATATATACACACACATATATTACTATACTCTCGGATTATATATATATATATACACACACACATATATTACTATACTCTCGGATTATATATATATATATATACACACACATATATTACTATACTCTCGGATTATATATACACACACATATTACTATACTCTTGGATTATATATATATATATATATATATACACACACACACATATTACTATACTCTCGGATCTCATAAAATAGTGCCGATTATTACCCATTGATTTCAGTGAATCTCGCTATTTTTACTTATCAAGGCAACATAGGTTTATATAGAGAGATATAGAAGAATTTGTTTGGTGAGTAATAACCCTTTTGACGTTGTTCTTCCTAAATTCAAGAATTTTTTGCACATATATTTATTTCAAGTTACCTCCTCTTTTTATTTCGAAAGAGGAAGGGCATAAGGGGAGGTCATAGGCGTCTACAGTCTAAAATTTGAAACGGAGAAAGACGAGAAAGACCAATAATCTAAATTCTAACTCTTCCAGGTTGGTATCTCACTAATGACTCCAACCCTCGTTGTCTTTCCAAAACAAAGAAGTCGTGAAATGACTGAACTATATATATATATATATGCATACATATCTCTTCTTTTTTTGTATTTAATTTGTTTTAGATTCTCAATTTTTCTGTTAAAAAACGACTCCGAACGCAACCAAGAGAGTTTTTAAGAATTTAGAATTTAAAAATTGAATCCAAGTGAACTTTGATCGATCTCAAATTTGAATCAACGAACTAAAATGACAACACCACCAACATCGAGTGAGGGATTTTCGACGATAACTAATATATAGTAATAAATGTACGTCATATGTTATATTGGTTATTTTATTGTATGCATCCTCTTTAAACAATTAAACGACTTGATTATCCATATTTTATAGTAAAACAATATTGGTATAAACCCTTTTTTAAGGCTTGTGGTCAAAGAAGTAATTAACTAAGTGGTCTTCAAGATCCAAATTTTTTTTTAAAGGTAAAGTTGTTATAATTTGTTTGTTAATCCACTTTTATAGTTCAACTATATAACTAGGGAAAAAAAATTGATTACCGGCATCTTCAATCGTTTTCGTATGAAATCCGCCTATTTTGAGGAATCATTTTTTGGTTCACTCACAGCAGCTAAAGCTAACCAGATAGGGTTAATAATTGAATCTATAATTTGTTTTATATTTCAATTAAATGATCACTTTACCAATTGATGTATGCTCATCGAGCAATCCAACGATATAATTGATCAAAACTAAATACGTATTCATTTCATTAGTTCATCATATTAAGAGAGAGAGAGGGAGGGAGGGAGGGAGAGAGAGAGAGAGAGAGAGAGAGAGAGAGAGGCAACTTATTACCATAAATTGTAAAATCCGGAAATTAATATGTGAATAATTAAAATATAGGGGAAGTTCCTCATAGATCCGAGGGAACACAGATTTGGGCGGTGACAATGTGGGGGAGTGAACCGGTTTGACCGGTCAAAATGCTTGAAATAACGTGCACTTTCCTAAAATAGAAAGTACAGCACATGACACGTAGACTTCCTCCAACCGTTGCCCATTTTAGATTTTCCTTTTTTATACAATTGTCTATTTTCTTTACAAGAGGGGGAAACGAACGGGGCATTTAAGTAATTTCATTCTATCTTTTCAGATCTAGAACACTCGTATCTTTCTAAAACTATTTGATTAAAAAACGTAATAAATAGTTGTTCCTAAAGTATTTAATCACATCTTTTTATTTGAATTAATAAATTAAGGATATAGTTTTTGTTTGGTTTGATTCCTTGTATCAAAAATTAAATTGTGCCTATGTATATGTCATGTGTATGTAAAGGTTCGGGACCATATGAGAATTTGTGTGAAAATGTATTATAAAAGGATCATTTTTAGACGGATCCGTTGAGAATAGCTAGATCACTCGGTCATTCTTTAGAAGACCTTCGTCGTCAGAGGTTTGGATAATGAAACTATAACAATGGATTTCGAGAGATATCAGATGGATTAATGACGACGAGTGTTACCAACGTGTTTTCCAAGGTCCTCAATTAACAAAAGGATTTTCGACGACGTCTTTTTTACCAACGGTTTTTAGTGATCACCAACGGATTTCCGATACACGCGTTATACCAACGGATTTCTAAGGCATGTAGATTTTACCAACAAATTTTTTACAAACACCATCAACGATGGATTCTGATAAAAAGCATACAACTAGGGGTGTTCGCGGTCCGGTTTGGGCGGTTTAACCCCTCAAACCACAAATCAAACCGTAATTGCGGTTTATAAAATTTCCAAACCGAACGGTTTATAAAATTTCCAAACCGAGCGGTTTGACATCAAGTGCCTAGACCGGTCAAACCAGACCAAGTAAAAGCGGTCTGGTCTGACCGATTTAGGCGATTTGAGCCTTTAATGGACTTTATATTAAACTTAATATATTAATATATATATATATATATATATATAATTTAGAATTTTAGATTAAGTATCCATCTTAACAAAAAAAATATCTAATCAAATAAATGTAATAATTAAGCAGCTCTTGAGTACAAAGTCGAGGCAATCCAAAGTACAAACATATAAAGATATAACATATTAGAAAACAAATAAATTAACAAGGTTACAACTCTACTGTGAGTATTGAGTAACAAAATTCACGACTTCACAACCTTCAATGGTTCAATTCTTAAGTCTTGACCAAACAAAATAGAAGTCAAATCTAAGTTGGTTGAATCACTTGGTTGATGTCTTGATAATGTGCGCCCAAATCAAACCATGGATTAGAAAGATCAATAGATTGATAGAGTTTTTGAGGGATTTCAAAATTTGGAGGCCGTCAATATCAAATGTGTCGATATGTTCAATGGTTTAATGGTTTTAGTCGTCGATTTTGATTATGTTAATTTGGGTCATAATCAATAAGTTAAAAAAGTTGGGCTTGCTAATATTAAAATAGATAAATAAATTAATATATATATATATATATATGTATATGTATTTGGCGGTCGGTTTGGTTCAAACCGCCCAAAAAAGTTTCCAAACCGCAGACCGGACCGGACCGCCCGGTTTTGCTATTTTCCAAACCAGACYGGACCGCCAGACCGCTCAAACCGCCAAAAACGGTCCGGTTTGACTTGGTTCGGTCGGTTTGAGCGGTCCAACGGTTTTTTTGAACACCCCTACACACAACTTTCCCACAAACATCATTAGTGACGGATTTCCAATAGCAAAACTACCGATGAATTTATGAGGGACAAAATTTCCACAAATTTCCATTGCATCACCAACAAAAGACAATACTGATGGATTTCTGAGGGAAGCAATTACCAACGGAAGTTTATTCGGGTATTAATTTATATAAAAAAAACAAATCAAAATATTTGTATTTTTTTTTATAATAAATATGCATTTCGTGTAGATATGCATTGTAGTAAATGAGCAAAATAAATATTATAATATCATATTTGAATGTTCCGATCAACTCCTTAATTAAGCATGTGACAAATGAACGGTATTCTCTGTCAATAATGAAACTAACAACGTAGTAATTTAAACATAGCTTCATTGTCCAACAAGCAACATACAAACAATCTCCTGGTGCTACAATTGGTTGGCTCACCCGTCATAGCAAACTAGTTGTCTAGAGTAGTCACGAAGTCGAATAGTTGACCATTTTTCCTACCTTCAACGGTTTGCTTCCATAGTTGTGGATCACCTGGAGGACGAGTGATGGGATCTGGGCCAAACCTTTCTTGTTTTCCCTGCTCATAAGCCTCCTACAATTACAAAAACAGAAAGGGTTAATAGGTTTTTAAAAGTTTCTATAACATAACGACTGTAAATAAAACATGGTTATAACAACTTTTTCTTAACAAATATAGGTATCAAACTACAATGATTGTCATAATGCCAACCAATCTACTATCTAGTTATCTTAATGTGTGCCCAAGAATGGAAATCCACAGTAATATATTGTGAAAAATGCTATAAAACCTAATTAAGCCTCAATTGATTAAAAAACTTATTGTGATTCTTGCTGCGGATTCTCTCGAGAACCTCGCTAGCAGCTCGGGCATGACCAAGTGATTCTTGTTACAAAAATCCAGCTTAGTTACAACATATATATTAAAAAAATATAATAAATTGAAAAGTATAACAACTTAATATTTTATATCTAAACAGGATGTTAGAACAGAAAATATACAAAGAACTAATTAATATTGAATCTAAAAAACTTTAAACAAGAATCACTAACTCAGATTGATGCGTCGAAGATCTAAGGCAGATCTTCAAGAATCGTAATGACGAACTATAGACTGAGAGAGAGAGAGAGAGAGAGTTCTTTGAGAAAATGAGAAAAAATGAATAATGAATAGCTAGACCGACTCCTCATTCTCTTATATATGAATATGATTTGAGCAGGAATAGTCCTCGAAGATCCAACTAATAGCTCCGCTACCCTTCA